TACACTATTTTCACAACTACAAACAAACAATTGAAAGTGATGAAAGCTGACATTGGGATCCACTTTTTTCACAACTACAAACTCACAAGAAGAATACAGGCAAAAGTGTGTGGTATTTCACGGATCTACATCTTAGAATTAACTAAGCTTCTTACACATTTTTTTGATTTGACCTCACAAGTCCATGTCTCTATATTCAGTTAAAGTGAAAATTGCACTATAGGAACTTAGGCTCAACATCCTCATCTGCACTAGATTCACTATGAACCTCTATTCAGGTTAAGGAGAAGGTTCACAAAAAACATGTCGCTTCTAGTTAAATATGATCGTCTTAGACAAGGATACTCAAGGAATTGGTTTGTTTTACCACACAGAAAAACCACTCCAAGAACAAGGATAGTTGGAATGATGTTTTTGGTTGTTCTTTGATGATGAGTTTGGTCATTTTTCAAAAAACTTGTATATATTTCTGTCTGTCAATGGATTTTGTGTTCGTATTTTCAAGTGCCGGAGATAGTTCACAACCCCTTACTCTTAAAATCAAACTTTTCTGTTATATGAGAAATCTACAGACAGCTAAAGACTTTTCAAACTACACATCACAAACTAGTTACAACTTGCACTGTCATCTGACCATATCACACTCAGCATTAAGCTTCAACATCCAGATCTTTAACCTTCAACTGGCACTCTATTCAAAACTCAAATAACTTAGATTATTTCAAACAATCTGTGGGCAACAAAAATCAAAACATAAAAACCCATAGAGTAAGTCCACTCACCATCCGATGCTCAACGAGAAACCGAATGATCTCCCTAACCCCAGAAGATATCAGAATCGATGTAAACCCCAAAAATATCTTGCATTTTATAGACTCTCTGTAGCTTGGATCCCTCTCCTCCTCACTGCAATCTTCAGCTGGTTCTTCATGAGACAGCCTCCAATCTAACTTCACCACATTGGAGCCAAAAAACAAAAAAGAGGAACTTTAATATCAATTCACCGAAAAAAAATTCAATTGTTGTTTTTTCTTACCATTTGATTTACGACTTGGATGGCGTCGCCGAGATTGGAGGCTTGGAACCCGGTGGAGGCCATGGAGAAGATGAGGCCCGCGAGATCCACTCCCTTGTTGAAATCGTAGCCGTTGATTCTGGGGAAGTTCTTGCCTTCTAGGGTTTCGGATTCTTTGAAGAGCACAGAGCGAACGGCATCTAGGGTTTTGTTCCCGTCTTCCATTGTTGAGAAATTCGGGGTTTGGGGGTTTGGGAGACCGCGGGGGGCTTTTAAATAGCAAGTGGGAGCTCGCTCGGGTTAAGGGGCTGTTTGGTTGTTGTTGGTAAAGTTGTGTATTTATGACACAACTTAGAAAGTTGTTGTTCACCTCATCAATTTCACTTTTAGGGGCTGTTTGGTTGTTATTGGTAAAGTTGTGTATTTATGACACAACTTGGAAAGTTGTTGTCCA